CAATTACATTGAAATGGAAGGAGTATCAGACCACTGCAAATCTACCAAGACCCGGCCGTCCCTCCAAACTTTCATCTCAAACAAGGAGAAGACTGATCAGAGATGCAGCCAAGAGGCCCATGATCGCTCTGGATGAACTGCAGATAACTACAGCTGAGGTGGGAGAGTCTGTCCATAGGACAACAATCAGTCGTGCACTGCACAAATCTGGCCTTTATGGAAGAGTGGCCATTTCTCAAAGATATCCATAAAAAGTCTCTTAAAGTTTGCCACAAGCCACCTGGTAGACACACCAAACATGTGGAAGAAGGTGCTCTGGTCAGATGAAACCAAAATCAAACTTTTTGGCCACAATGCAAAACGATATGTTTGGCGTAAAAGCAACACAGCTCATCACCCTGAACACACCATCCCCACCTCAGCTGTAGTTATCTGCAGTTCATCCAGAGCAATCATGGGCCTCTTGGCTGCATCTCTGATCAGTCTTCTCCTTGTTTGAGATGAAAGTTTGGAGGGACGGCCGGGTCTTGGTAGATTTGCAGTGGTCTGATACTCCTTCCATTTCAATATAATTGCTTGCACAGTACTCCTAGAGATGTTTAAAGCTTGGGAAATCTTTTTGTATCCAAATCCGGCTTTAAACTTCTCCACAACAGTATCTCGGACCTGCCTGGTGTCTTCATGGTTCTCTCTGCGCTTTAAACAGAACCCTGAGACTATCAAAGAGCAGGTGCATTTATACGGAGACTTGATTACACACAGGTGCATTCTATTTATCATCATCAGTCATTTAGGACAACATTGGATCATTCAAAGATCCTCACTGAACTTCTGGACTGAGTTTGCTGCACTGAAAGTAAAGGGGCCGAATAATATTGCACGCCCCACTTTTCAGTTTTTTATTTGTTAAAAAAGTTTAAATTATCCAACAAATTTCATTCCACTTCACGATTGTGTCCCACTTGTCGATTCATGACAAAAAAATTAAAATTTATATCTTTATGTTTGAAGCCTGAAATATGGCAAAATGTTGAAAGGTTCAAGGGGGCCGAATACTTTCGCAAGGCACTGTAGAGCTGCAGAAACAACCCGTGCACAGGCCAAGGAACTGCGCAGAGAGGAAACCGTAGTGCATGTTCTTAAAAAGAGAACAGAAAAGAAAGCCACCTACCAAACAAAATGATACAAGCGAGAAATCATCTGAGTACAAGTGCAGTAGATGTGGGTGTAGTCATAAACCCAAGTCATGTCCAGCCTATGGCAAGTCATGTAATAGCTGTGGAAAAATCAATCACTTCTCTAAATGCTGCAAAGTGACGTCAATAAAGAAGAAAGTACATGCAGTGGAAGAAGAGGAGGAGGAGTTTGTAATGGACAGTGTACAGACTTGTGGCACTGATAAAGCTGAATGGATTGTGCCGATAGAGGTAAATGAGACAGAAATTCCATTCAAGCTGGATACAGGGGCCCAGGTGAACTTACTATCTATCCAGGACTACAGAACGCTGACGGTCAAAGGCAAGATCCATCCTGTAAAGATTAAAGTGACAGGATACACAGGTGAAACCATACCTGTGACAGGGAGCTGCATCGTAACCTTCAAAAATAAAGGGCGACAGATCCAGGCACAGCTATTGATCGTGGATAAGAGAGTACAGCCAATTCTCGGACTCAGTGCATGTGGAAAACTCAATCTGGTCAAGAAAGTGTTTGTAGTGACATCGCCTTCAAACGATCACGACTCGCTCATGGTGGAGTACAAAGACTGTTTTGAAGGACTCGGATGTCTACCTGGATTACACAAGATACGTGTTGATGAAAGCGTGACCCCTGTTGTGCATCCCTGCAGGAAGGTGCCATTCAAGCTTAGAGAGAAGCTAAATGAGGAGCTAGCACGCATGGAAAAAATGGAAGTCATCAAGAAGATTGACGAGCCTACAGAATGGGTCAGTTCACTGGCATTAGTTCAAAAAAAGACAGGTGCTCTTAGAACATGCCTTGACCCACGGGATCTTAATAAGGCAATTAAGAGAGAACACTTCAAACTGCCAACCAGAGAAGAAATCATGGCACAGTTTGCTGGTGCAAAATGGTTCAGCAAACTAGATGCCTCATCGGGTTTCTGGCAGCTGAGGCTAGATGAAGAGAGTTCAAAGCTCTGCACCTTCAACACACCTGAGGGCAGGTACCGCTTTCTTCGTCTCCCGTATGGCATCTTGTCTGCACCCGAGGTATATCACAAAACCATACACATGATATTTGAGCACATACCAGGAGTCGACACCATGATGGATGACATCATCGTATGGGGTTCTACTCGAGAAGAACACGACATGAGGCTGAGACAAGTACTCGACAAGATAAGAGAGGTCTTTGTCGGTGATGTGGTCAGTGAAGACGGGGTGAAACCAGATCCAAGAAAGTTATCTGCAATACACAACATGGAGAGACCCCACAACAGAGATGACGTCAGAAGGTTCCTTGGTATGGTAACCTACCTGGCTAAATTCATACCAGATCTGTCCACACAATCTGCACCTCTGAGAAGCCTGCTTGAACAGAAAAATGAATGGCTTTGGTCACATGAGCAGGAACAATGCTTCAGGAAGCTAAAAGAGACTCTAACACAAGAGCCTGTGCTGAAGTTCTACGATCCCCAGAGGAATACAAGGGTATCGGCAGACGCTTCGCAGTACGGCCTGGGGTCGGTGCTTCTACAGCTACATGAGGAACAGTGGCTACCAGTCGCCTATGCATCCAGGGCCTTGACGAGCGCCGAGTCTAGGTACGCCCAAATTGAGAAAGAACTTCTCGCAAGTACGTATGCGTGTGAACGATTTCACCAATATGTCTATGGACAAGCGTTTGAGGTGGAAACAGACCACAAACCACTGCCCTGTAAGAATTCAACGCATGTTAATAAGACTACAGAAATATGATGTGCGAATGATATATACACCAGGGAAGTACATGTTCACCGCCGACACTTTATCCCGAGCAGTGGACAGGGAAGAGAGTGCTGACAGTGAGTGAGAAGAGTGCAGATATACAGGCTTATGTGGATATGATTGTGACATCTCTACTGGTTACTGCAGACAGAACAGTGCAGATCAGAGAAGAAACAAACAAAGATGAGACATTGAAAGAACTAAAAGAGACGATACAGAAAGGATGGCCTAAAAGCAAAAGTAACTGTCCAAAGAAAATATGGAACTATTGGAATCACAGAGCGGAGCTTACAGTGGTGGATGACATAATACTCAAGGGAAGCAAGTTTGTCATTCCATCCTCACTACGAAAAGTAATGCTCCAAAAGATACACAAAGGCCATCTCGGAGAAGTCAAGTGCAAGCGCAGGGCCAGAGAAGTGATGTATTGGCCGAGAATCAACCAAGACATACACCAAGCTACTGCGTCTTGTGAACTTTGTCAAATATATAGACCAAAACAACAAGCAGAGCCGCTGATGCCTCATCCTGTGCCTTACCGACCGTACTACAAAGTGGGAGCTGACTTGTTTGACTGTAATAGAAAGACTTTCATCGTGGTCACAGACTACTTTTCTAACTATCCTGAAGTCGGACAAATGCAATCTACATCAAGCAAAACAGTCATCAGCTACCTAAAGACAGTGGGCCTCATTCACGAACGGTTCTTAGGAACAGATTTGTACGTAAATCCTACTTACGAGGTTTTTACGAAGAAAGTGGCATTCACACATTTTTCTCGTAACCAGAATTTCTCTTGGGCAAGTACAAATCCTACGAGTCCTCAGGAGCACTCGTACGCATTCAGTGCCGACATGTTCACACGCCGGGGTTGTCCTCTTTGGTGAAGTTTAATAAAAATACAACATTCCAGTGATATGTCTGTCATATTTATGTATGTATTTAATCTATTATTTCATTTTTGTGGTTACATATTATTTTTCATATTCATTTTCAAATTAAATGTGCCAACGCTTTTCAAAATACATTGGAAATCTTGCCGTGTATTAGTGACCCCTTCCTATTTATAGGGGGCATTTCTTTATCCACGGGCCACAGAACAACGCATATATACTGCTGCTGCAGGAGGTTACGGGGTCCGCGCTGAGTCTCTGCGCTGGTCTCTCCTATGGATCTATACGGGTCTGCACTGGTCTCTCCCATGGATCTAGACGGGTCTGCACTGGTCTCTCCCATGGCTCTAGACGGGTCTGCACTGGTCTCTCCATACGGGTCCGTGCTGCATGCTCCTGGATCCATACGGGTCCGCGCTGGTCTCTCAAGTCTGGTCTATGCGGTCTCTCTTCGGTCCGCGCTGGTCTCTGCGCACCGGTCTCTCCAGTCAGGTCACTACAGTCTCTGCGGTCTCTCTTCGGTCCGCGCTGGTCTCTCTCTCATCATATTCTTAGATTAATCTCATAATTTTGCTAGTTCGACTTTATTCTCATAATATTTCGACTTTTAAGTCAACATTTTATAACTTTATTCTCAGTCTGGCAAAAGAAGAAAAAAGGGTGACTCTTTTGCTCCGTGTAACTCTTTGCTTTAGGCCTGTTGCCGTTTCCTCTGGCGTCTGCACACGGCCCTGCAGTCCCTTATATGGGCATTAGTGGGCGGTTACCTATGCTAAGTACCTATGCTAATGAATCACCGGGCACGCGCGCTCTACTTACGAGGAGTTGGCATTCATCAATCTGAGAGAACAGCTGCGAACAATTCAGCGGCTTAAGAGCGCGTTGATGAATCCCACGTAGGCTCTTCTTAGAAATCTACTTAAGAACGACTTGAGAAGAAATTTAAGAAGTTTCTTACGAAGTTATTTGTGAATGAGGCCCAGTGTTTGCAAGACACGGCATTCCGTGCGAACTGTTTACAGACAATGGCCCACAGTTTTCTAGCTGTGAGTTTGCTTCTTTTGCCAGTGAGTGGGGATTCCGACATACAACCTCGAGTCCTACTTACCCGAAATCCAATGGTCTGGCGGAGAGCTCTGTAAAGATAGTGAAAGGTCTCATGAAGAAGGCAGTAGACCGAGATGATTTTCAGAAGAGCCTGCTCATTTACAGGAGCACGCCTCTCCAGAACGGCCTATCACCTGCACACATGCTGATGGGTCGCCGCATTCGTTCCAACCTGCCAGTCAGTGAGGACTTGCTGACACCCAAAGGTGCATCTAAGGTGAGGAAGGTAAAGGAAAGACAGAAAGAGAAACAGAAACAGCTACACGACAGGACGGCAAAACCTCTATCTACATTGAAACATGGCGACCGAGTGCGTGTCAGAGACATTAACACAGGTACATGGAGACAACAGGGACATGTTGAGGAAGAACTTTCTCCACGTTCCTACAAGGTCCGAACCGAGGGTGGACTATCTTTGAGGAGGAATCGCACAGATCTTCGACTGCAACCTACTGTGGAGGACACAGCAGCTCAGGAGGTCGAGCTTCAACAAGACCCACTTGAACTTCCTGAACTGTCCAACAGCGAGCAAGATCACGCTGACAATGGTCAAACAGCAGCGTCAAAGTCACCCACTGCTGAGAGACTCGTGAGACCTCAGAGACACATCAAGCCACCGCAGAGATTGATTGAGAGTTGCTGTACTGCTGTCACCTTACATTGTGTGCACCTGTTGTGTGCACTTGTATATTGTAAATAGTAACTGTAACTCTATTTTAAATTTACATTTATTCTTTAGAAGTGTTTTTTATTCTTATTTTTATTATCTCTTTCTGACTGTTGCACTGAGCCAAAGCAATTTCCAAGTCTGTGACCTGCTGTTACTTACGTGGCAATAAAAATGATTCTGATTCTGATTCTGAATGAAGCAGGGACTGTTTAAAAAAAAAAAAAAAAGAAAAAAAGTTGTCATAGAAGTTTGGTGTGTTGCCTGAGCATATTGTTTTCTTTCTTAGGGGGGAAGATGTGGTGTTACGTGTTAGTAACATGGGAACTCCAGTTCCCATGATTCCTTGCGAGTTACGCATGTGTGGGGGTTGAAGATGACTTCCTGTTTACAGTCCGCACGAGTGTGATGTACGAGCCTGCCGTAGCTACTTGTTCTAAATAAAAATACAAGTTTATTAAACACGCCTCTACTGTTCATCTGCACTAGAACAGACATTACAGAACTGTTCTCATAAAGTTTATGGGAAAAGATGGGATAGAAAATGAATTACCAACCAAGTAAACGTGAAAGTCACCGGCAAACACCGCTGTAGCTCAGTCTCAGCACAGACAGACACAGAGATGTGGTCAGAGAAGCAGACGCAGCGGGACCTGAGCAGGTGCGTTCTCTGCATGAAATGGAATGACTCCAGACATTTTTAAATAGATGGTAACAACGAATTTTACGAAACAATAACAGTATTTATAAATAACCTGGATGCGTTTTAAAAATCCGTAATATTTTCTTCTTTTTCTCATTTTTATATATTTTTTGTTCTATACTTTTAGGGGTGCTTGACATATTTTTATATAAAAAGGGGCTAGCTACGCCCCTGCGTCACGGTAAACTCAGATCCAATCATTTCAATCTGCAAAAGGAGTTAACCCCTCCCACCTGTTCACGGAGCTCAATGGAGCAAATCCAGACCTTGGTATGAAATGTAATTTGTACTAAGGTGTGGTACAACCAGGCTAAGACTAAGCAAGGATGGGGAAAGTCTAATTTGTCGGAGCAGCAGAAGACGAAAGGTAAAAAACTTATACAAACACGATTTATTTTGTGCCCATATTATGCGTTATATCTTTTTAATGCAAAGTCTGACACTTACATATAAATATAGCTGAGAAAATAAGCTTTAAAATGATTCAAAATACATCTGCTATTGCCAGCAGATGTATTTTTTTTCTCGTTTGCCCCCGCCGGCGGGGGCTTGTGAGCTTAAGAATTTCAGCCAATATTATTGTCATTCAAAGAAGTGGCTCATCAGATCTAATCCTAATCAATGGAATTACTTCACACAGTACAAAATCAGAACATAAAAAGTGTCAGGACAGAGGTCAATTAAGTCCATGACAATATAGAATTCAAACATTTCTGGTCTCAAAAATACTGATTCAAATAAAGATTCAAGTGATAGACAAATAAAAATATTTGTTTACATTACAGTAAACTTTTAATGCTTTTTTCTCATGTTCTGCTATTTCATGTATCTATGTGTAAATGTGTATGTGTGAATGTGTGTGTGTATGTGTGTAAGTGTGTGTGTGTGTATGTGTGTGTGTATGTGTGTATGTGTGTATGTATGTATGTATGTGTGTATGTGTGTATGTGTGTGTGTGTGTATGTGTGTATGTCTTAATATGTATTTCTTAATAAAAAACAACACTCAAATCTCAAATAAACTTTAAAATGTGTACTTTTGTACTGTGTATAATTATCTATACGTCCTTGTGTTTCTTGAAAGACGCCATGAAATAAAATGAAACTATGAAAAATCTCTATAAAAATGAAAATGAATTTGGAAAAACATTAAAACAACTTATGAAATATAAACAAAAGATTAGACGATTTAGCTCCAGCTAAACTGAATTTGGTTTAAATAAAACTCAATTTTGTGTCAGAGCCCTCTGTGGAGTCCTATCGTTTCCTGGGCACCACCATCACCCAGGACCTCAAGTGGGAGCCGACCATCAGCTCCCTCATCAAGAAGGCCCAGCAGAGGATGTACTTCCTGCGGCAGCTCAGGAAAGCCAAGCTGCCTGCACAGATGTTGGTGCAGTTCTACACGGCCATCATCGAGTCCATCCTCACCTCCTCCATCCTCACCTCCTCCATCCTCACCTCCTCCATCACCTCCTCCATCACCGTGTGGTTCGCTGGAGCCACAGTCAGGGACAAACAGAGACTACAGCGCATTGTGAGCTCTGCAGAGGAAGTGATCGGCCGCAGCCTTCCATCGCTGCAGGACCTGTACGTCGCCCGAGCTCGAGGCCGGGCTGGTCGTATCACAGCCGACCCCTCTCACCCTGCACATGGACTATTCCAACCACTCCCCTCAGGCAGGAGACTGCGGTCCATCAGGACTAGAACCCCCCGCCACAAGAACAGTTTCTTCCCCATGTCTCCTGAAAAGATAAAAACATGTTTGCTACACAGTTAAAATAATGTGAGATATTTACAATATTGACAAAGACAAGACAGTAAAACATTCAGTCATACATCGTTCAACAAACAACAATACACAATCACATGGAGACAGACATAGAACACATACAGGCGCGCACAGAGCATGTGGCCAGCAGGGGGCAGCGATTATCAATGAGCCATTGTTTTAACTGTGTTTTGTACGTGAGGTAAGAGGGTGCATTTCTGATAGTTGTGGGTACAGTAGGAATTAAACAAAAGTGACAAAGCAAGAGAATCCAGGAAGCAGGTCTCCCAGCCAGCTGGGATGTGCCCGCGATCCCAGATTAACTGTTGCTTTCCCATGCCGAAAAAAAGAAACAAAGGAAAGTCCCTCAAAACAACCAGAGAATGGCGCACACTGAGCCGCGCATCCTCCACCAAATCTGTCAGGAATGAACCAGACAGAGACGGATCGTGGTGCGCCAAACTCTGGAAGTTTATTTAAGTTTCTCTCAAGTTCCAGTGGTTTCAATTGTTTCTTTCTCTCAGACAGAATAAAGTCAGTACACAGTTTATATAGTCATTGTCACGTCACACATGGAAAGACGTACGTGTCACACAGAGACAGTCACATCATAGTCAAAACATGGAGTCATCATCAAAGTCCTTGTACAGTCTTGTGCTTGTCCTGCACGTAGGCCAAATCTCTATCTAATCCAAACACCACTTTACCTGCTGTTAGTATTACTGCATTATTACATATCCATCTGATATTTCTGCCATTCACCAGTCACTTTACCTTTTGATATTATTTCTGATATTTATTCTGTTCATATGCATATTCCCATATTCTCCGCTGCTAAAGTACATAGACATCTGTAAATACTTTTGAACCAAGTGCAATTATAGCCCAGAGTTTATTTTATTTTATTTTATTCTTATCTTAATTTTATAGTCTATTATCTTAAATAATAGACTTATTGGATGTGTGCAATCTGAGTGCTCTTATTTCCTTTCTCTGCTGTAATGTGCAACGATGACACTGAAATTCCTCCACTGTGAGACTAATAAAGGTTCATCTTATCTTATCTTATTTTCCTTCACCTTTGACCAGGCCGCTCCCGTTTCAGTCTACGCACTTTTTATTTAACCCTGGGCTTTTAAAACTACAAATATCTTCACAGTTCATTGAGATTGAGGCCCATTGAGTCACTTTTACTCCTCTTTAATCAGGTTTTCGTCGTCGTTTTCCAACAAACAGTAAAGTTAATCGTCACAGGCCGCTCCCATTTCTGTGTTTTTTTTGCCTCCCAATCCCTTTGCGTGTGTGTGTCTCTGTGTGAGTGTGTGTGTGTGTGTGTGTGTGTGAGTGCGTGTGTGTGTGTGTGTCTGTGTGAGTGTGTGTGTGTGTCTGTGTGTGAGTGTGTGTGTGTGTCTGTGTGAGTGTGTGTGTGTGTCTCTGTGTGAGTGTGTGTGTGTGTGTGTGTCTGTGTGAGTGTGTGTGTGTGTGTGTGTGTGTGTGAGTGTGTGTGTGTCTCTGTGTGAGCGTGTGTGTGTGGGTGTGTGTGTGTGTGTGTCTGAACAGAACTGTTGTTGTGCAACACACTTCACCAACATTGCTTAGAATGAGTCTGGTGTGTGTCTGAATGGTGTGTGGTGGTTGGAGGGGCTGATGGCACAGACTGGTTGCCTCAGTGTGCCCCAGGGCGGCTGTGGCTACAGTAGTAGTTTATCACCGCTGTGTATGGAGTGAATGAGTAATGATGTGTGAAGGTAACATATTCACTTACTCTTATGGACACGATATTTTCCCAAATTGACAGTCTAAAGGTCATTTAGCACTTTTGTTATAATATCAGAAAAAAATGTTCTTTTTTTTCCAATTTCCGGAAAAAACAGGAAGTAGGTTGCCAGCGCTAATCATGGATATAGGCTCCAATTAAAAAAAACAAAGTTCAGAAAGAAGCATTAAAATCACAAAGTACATTAGCATCATACATAATCACAGTGCGTTAAAGACACAGAAACAGAACTGTTTTTTTATCCTGGATTTGAACGTTACACAAAACATTTTAAAACATTCAAAGATTACTCCTCAACATGACAGGTTGGTAACGCGTTAACTTTAGAGAGAGTTATGTATCATTATCCGGCGTACTGTATGTTTATTTGTATTATAATCATTTTGAATTGTTTCCAGTAAGAATCAGGAAACTGCAGCTGCGCGTGAAGGCAGCTTGGTCACGTGACGTCACCTCACCTGAGACCAAAGGTAAGGTAAAGCTGGGTTAATATTTACCGTCTCTGGAAAGATTCAACTAAACCCTGCGTCGTCAAGATCCTTTTGGGGAGAACGCGTCTCTGGCCACGTCTGCGTAAGTAGAATAGTAGTTTATATTTAGTTCAGATGAAGAAAACATCTTTATAAGCTTTATTTTCCTTCACCTTTGACCAGGCCGCTCCCGTTTCAGTCTACGCACTTTTTATTTAACCCTGGGCTTTTAAAACTACAAATATCTTCACAGTTCATTGAGATTGAGGCCCATTGAGTCACTTTTACTCCTCTTTAATCAGTTTTTTGTCGTCGTTTTCCAACAAACAGTAAAGTTCATCGTCACAGGCCGCTCCCATTTCTTCTCAGGACCTACGCACTTTATTTTCCTACAGTATGTCTGGCTTTTTAACCACTGACTCTTCCTCATGCTGCACTTGCTAAAAGGTTCATACGAGTTTACATGTATTCTGACCTGTTTGCTCTATTACAGGTCTCTGAGTCTCATTTTCACATCTCTCATGTTAAAAACACTCAAACCGTGTTTTCCATTTGATTTTCTTATTTCTTACAGCCCTAGTTTGATGCGGACATTCAATACATTTTTTCTATAGTCCTGAATCCCAACCGCAGGCGTCTCAGAGGACTTTTTAAAGTTGTCAATTCCTCTACAACAGGTCAGAGAATCAAACAGTTTGAACACAATAAATGCAATAACAACAAACACAGAGAAGCCGTTGGTTCATAGGGAGCGGGTTGATCAATGTCCATAAATGTCCTTTACTGACCTGGACCATCACTGTCCTCAGACCCTTCTGCATCGGCAAAGAACCACTCAGATTCGTGTGGAGAAAACCCTCAGAGGCCCCTTTGACAGAGATCTGCTCCCACAGACAGACAGCCTGTAGGTCCAAGATTCAAGATTCTGTTTATTTGCCATTTACAGTATAACCACATTGGAGTAACTGTGCAAGACTACCCCGGTGTGCACCAGGATAGTACACCATGTGATCCAGGACTCAGGCTGTAGATCCAGGACTCAGGCTGTAGATCCAGGACTGAGGCTGTAGATCCAGGACTCAGGCTGTAGATCCAGGACTCAGGCTGTAGATCCAGAACTCAGGCTGTGGATCCAGGACTCAGGCTGTAGACCCAGGACTCAGGCTGTAGATCCAGGACTCAGGCTGTAGATCCAGGACTGAGGCTGTAGATCCAGGACTCAGGCTGTAGATCCAGGACTCAGGCTGTGGATCCAGGACTCAGGCTGTAGACCCAGGACTCAGGCTGTAGATCCAGGACTCAGGCTGTAGATCCAGAACTCAGGCTGTGGATCCAGTACAAGGCTGTAGACCCAGGACAGAGGCTGTAGACCCAGGACTGAGGCTGTAGACCCAGGACAGAGGCTGTAGACCCAGGACAGAGGCTGTAGACCCAGGACAGAAGCTGTAGACCCAGGACAGAGGCTGTAGACCCAGGACCGAGGCTGTAGACCCAGGACTGAGGCTCTGGTTGTCTGTGTGACATGTGGTTGTGTGTTGTGGGTAATGCATTTTTAAACTATAATAATTCCTCTTTGTATCACAGACCTCTGCTCTCCCTGTGCACTGCTACATTTTGGGGATAATGGAGCCTCTCAGTCCTGGTGCAGATCTCGGCCCTGATCTGAGCTCTCTGTGTCGCTCTGAGGAAACATCTGCAAGGTTTGAATTCTTTTCCATAGTGAGTGGGCGACAAATGTCCATAAATGTCCTTACATGTAACTTATGGTCATTTATCTCCTGATTGAACGATACATTTATAAATATTAATATATACAGTATATTTTACAGCAGGCTTGATTTGGTCGTTCTTTTCAACGCTAATAATGTGTTTTTATGTAGGATTTGTGTTTTCTCTCAAAATTGTTAATTTTTTTTCCCATTCTAAATTAATAAATAATAAAAATCATATATAAATATTAACTGTTAAAAATCATCTTCAGGAGGAAACTGGAAAAATCTGGATCTCAAACCAGCCCTGGTCCCAGCTGCGAGTCTCTGAAGAGCGACAGGTCCAAATGGTGGCCAATCAACTTTAAAAGGTGAGTTTGTTCCTGAGTGTGTGCTCCACTGTAACATGCTCTGAACAGACTCTTTGACTGTAGGGACTCGAACCCTCACCCTGCTCTGAGCTGTGGCTCCAGCCTCAGTGACAGCTCTAAAGACTGGGACGTAGAGTTTAAGAACTCTAGCGGCTGCTTATGTCCTAAAGCCGCGGAGAGAGAGAAAGTGTGACTCGCTAAATTAGTGTAGAGAAACAAACGGAGAGGCTGGATCCAGTTGCGATTCAATTTAATTAATTATAAACGCTGCACAAATAAATCAAACAAAACTAAAACAGTGGTCAACAAAAGTTATGGCTACACAAACAGCCCTCTCTCCTGTCCCGGTGCCGCCGCTGGTGTGTGCCCATTCATAATCTCATGTACTGCGCACACACACACGCCTCCCACACACGCACACGCGCACGCACACACACACACACACACACACATAAACACACAGACGCTCTCATACACACACACACACACACACACACACATACACGTTTTTGTTACCTGGTGGGTCCCTTTGACAGGGCCGTTCAGAATGGGACCCATAGACATAATCTTTTTTTACTGGAACTACTTTAAGTAATACAAAACATCCATCCATCCATCCATCCATTTTCTTCCGCTTTATCCGTTGCCGGGTCGCGGGGGCAGCAGTCTAAGCAGAGACGCCCAGACTTCCCTATCCACACACACTTCCTCCAGCTCGTCCGGGGGGACCCCAAGGCGTTCCCAGGCCAGCTGAGAGACATAGTCCTTCCAGCGTGTCCTAGGTCTTCCGCGGGGCCTCCTCCCGGTGGGACGTGCCCGGAACACCTCCCCAGGGAGGCGTCCAGGAGGCATCCGGAACAGATGCCCGAGCCACCTCAACTGGTTCCTCTCGACGTGGAGAAGCAGCGGCTCTACTCCGAGCTCCTCCCGTGTGACTGAGCTCCTCACCCTATCTCTAAGGGAGCGCCCAGCCACTCTGCGGAGGAAGCTCATTTCGACCGCTTGTATCCGCGATCTCGTTCTTTCGGTCATTACCCAAAGCTCATGACCATAGGTGAGGGAGGGAACAAAGATTGACCGGTAAATCGAGAGCTTCGCCTTTCGGCTCAGCTCCCTCTTCACCACAACGGTCCGATACAGCGACCGCATCACTGCGCACGCTGCACCGATCCGCCTGTCAATCTCACGCTCCATTCTTCCCTCACTCGTGAACAAGACCCCGAGATACTTGAACTCCTCCACTTGAGGAAGGACCTCTCCACCCACCTGAAGAGGGCAAGGCACCTTTTTCCGGTCGAGCACCATGGCCTCGGATTTGGAGGTGCTGATTCTCATCCCATACAAAACAGTCAATAGAAAACAAACAACTCTTTTAAAGGAATTTTATTTTAGATATTTTTTTCGAATTGCAGTGATTCTATTTTTGACATAGAATTTAATGCCACTCCATGTCCGATGTCTAAGGTCATCTGGTGAGGCATTAATGCAGGCCAGGCAGTGAGACTTCCCAGGGACTTTTCCAGTCTGTATGAAAGGCGTCATGGTCTTCTCCACAGCCTTCACCTCAGATGCAGACCATGGCTTTCTTACACGTTCTAGGGAGAGAAATAAAAATATATTAGCAATATACACTCCCAGGGTTAGGACCAAGCAGCCTGGCTGTAATCCCCCACCTGGTACACTTACCAGAAGGGGCACTGCCACTACCATGGGGTGCATCTGGATGAATGGTTGAAGGTTCTCCGCTTGAAGATTCTTTTAGCCCGTCCGTTTGTGAGAGGATCTCTACTGCTCTCCCTGTAGCACAGAAAATAAAAATACAAGTGGCCTTTAGGGGAAAAAAATTATACATATTTTAATAATATCAAGAATCAGGCTCAATTTGTATCTGGTCGAGGCTCTTTCCTTTGAATTCCGTCACTCTTCCCTGCTCCATGGCCATTAACACTTTGCTGATTTTGGCCAGCTCCAGTGTCCCCTCTGGTAGTCTGTAATATTGTCTGTGGATGCGAATGTCATGGCCGAGGAAGTTGGCTAGTATGTCCATTTCATTCTCTTTCATATTGAGAACTGTAGACATAGTAGCTATGTGCTTTCTAAGTTTGGTTGAGGATAGCATCTCTGGATGCACCGCACCACATTCTTTGGCTACCTGCCGTAGGGAGTCTGATCCCCTGATGTGGGTGTCTGCGCCCGGGCGGGAGAAGAAGTATGGATTATGGTCAGAGATGGAACAGGCCCTTCTGTTCTCCACCAGCACCTCCATCCAAGCAATCATTTCAGGAGTCAAAAGAACCGGCACTTTCCGACTTCTTTTCCCTTTAATTTCAATGCGTTGAAAATGCTGACACAGCTTTTTCTCAAGTTCGGACAGTCCCAGAGCAATGTCAGAATGGATCCCAGTCTTACCAATGCTTAGACGTTGGCTCACTTATTAGGCTTTGCACATATTCAGGTCAACATACCTCAATATGTGCATGCATGGCTCTAACGTCCTCAGTCAGAGGGAGCAGGTCCGGAGTGTTCCACTTGGCTTGCCGGAGGGTCTGTAGGGCAGCAGAAGAAACACAGACGTCCCACCTCTTCTCAAAAAGCAGCCGGCTTCGTTGGAGGTTTTTAATAAATAGTTCATCAACACAATGCTCCATTTTTGAGTCACATTCAAGAATATCTGCTAGCTTTCTGAGGCTATGGCCGAGTTTGAGGGCCAAGGATGGAGTCTTGTATTGATTTGTTTCCTCATCATATCCAGCCACAGACCTGACTGCATCAATCACATGGTTAAAGTTGGAAGGAATAAAGAAATCCTTAATTGTTTTCAGTTTTACTGCGGTTTTTGCTTCGTTAATTAACCTACCGACTTCTCTCATTTTCTGCCTAATGTAATCATGCTTAGTCTTATCATGCCCGTGTTTTAAGTACAGGTGCTCTCCGAGTCTCAGAATCCCCTTTTCTGCTTTGGCAACACCCGTGACCTCATCCTGATGCATTGCCGAAATTAAAGACCACAGCTTTTTGCTGATGCCCTCCGGTACAGGCTGGGCTAGGGAGCAGAGGGACTGGACCCTACTTCTACCTGGTTTAGCCTGGGCATCTTTCTGTGAAAGCCGGCACCTGGCCACATGCCTCCACAGCCACTTTCGCTTAAGCAATGCCCCACAGTCTATACAGTGCAAAAACTCACTGGATTTAACTGGGGAATTTGGATGTTTAGCTGGGACTAAAGTTCCAATGCCGGCTTTTAAAACCTCAAAATTGTGCTCACGGTTTCCACTATTCCTGATCAAATCAAACTGAAGTTTACGTGCTTTAGATTTCACAGGTAGAGCCAATGCTCTGGCTACGTCACTTTCATTTCCATGTTTTCTAGTCAAATGACGGGACAGGACATTGAACAGTAGAGGCAGAAGTGCCTCTTGCTGTAAACTCTCCCCCCATTTTTCTTCTTTTGCAGCTGCATGATAACAATCTTATTTGCCTTTGGTTCGTCACTTTCCGAGTCTTGAAGAAAAGTGTTTTTGATTTTTCTTTTTCCATACTTTTTTACAGGTTTCTTCTTGACAGTTAAATCGTCAGAATCTGAGTCGACTTCATCAATTAGGGACTCTTGACTAAGCTGCACAAACAACAAATAATTTGTAATAATTCTATATAACAATTTGAAGTCATGACTTGTAGTCAGCACTTACCAGTGGTTTGTAAGCGTGCGCTTCAGTGTGCTCCTCCATGATTTCTTGCAGCCTAATGAACCACACACTTGCACCTTTTCTAGCCTGACACCTGATTTCCTCTGTTGTGCTGCTCCATGATTGGCTCCAGCCTGCTGGACTGAAATTGCCCCAGTGTGCCCCTCCTTGATATCCCGCAACCCACCACCAGGGTTCCGACACATAACACACTTTTTTCAGGAAAGTAAACCTCCAGGGGTCCTTTCCATATTTTTACAGAGACTGCATAAGGACCGTTAGAAAAGCATTACCCATTGATTATTAAGCTTGGACCAGTGGGGTCCGGTGTTCGGGCCCCACCACGTAAAACCAGTCCCCATGACGTGAGTGGAATCTCAGGTTATGGAACCCACCAGGAGTTGAAAACAAGTGCACACACACACACACACACACACACACACATACACAGACACAAACATACACACACACATACACATACACATACACGCACACATACACATACACACACATACACAGACATACACAGACACATACACACATACAGAGATACACACAGAGATACACACACACACACATACACACATACAGAGATACACACAGAGATACATAGACACACACATACAGAGAGATACACACACACACACACACACACACACACACACAGACACATACACACATACAGAGATACACACAGAGATACACAGACACACACACACACACACACACACACACACACACACAGAGACACACTTTTATTTATACAGTGGGGCAAAAAAGTATTTAGTCATCCACCGATTGTGCAAGTTCTCTCACTTAAAATAATGACTTTTTTGCCCCACTGTATTTCACAAGGCAAATCCACTTAAACGGTTTCAGAAAAACAATACACAAATTCTGGAATGGCCTTCCTCTGTTCTCGCTCTGGTCTCTCTCTGGTCCCTCTCTCTGGTCTCTCTCTGGTCTCTCGCTGGTCTTTCTCTGGTTTCTCTCTGTTCTCTCTCTGTTCTCTCTTCCTGGTCTCTCTCTGGTCTCTCTCTGTTCTCTCTCCCTGGTCTCTCTCTGGTCTTTCTCTGGTCTCTCTCTGGTCTCTCTCTCTGGTCTCTCTCTGGTCTCTCTCTCTGGTCTCTCTCTGGTCTCTCTCTATTCTCTCTCCCTGGTCTCTCTCTGGTCTTTCTCTGGTCTCTCTCTGGTCTCTCTCTGGTCTCTCTCTCTGGTCTCTCTCTGGTCTCTCTCTAGTCTCTCTCTAGTCTCTCTCTGGTCTCACTCTGGTCTCTCTCTGGTCTCTCTCTAGTCTCTCTCTGGTCTCACTCTGGTCTCTCACTCTGGTCTCTCTCTCTGGTCTAGTTTAGTTTAGTTTATTCCAAGCCGGTACAATACAACACAAGATAAAAAGAAATACATTACGATGCTATACAATATTAACACATCAATAGAAAAGGAAAAAAATAAAAATAAATAAACAGCTTTGAAGGGAGTGGGATGAAGACAAGTTTATTTACTCCCACCCCCATGAAGTCCTCAAATATATGGTTGTCGCCATTTACAGGGAAATATAACAAAAGCAAAACCAGCGGTAGTTTTATATACACATTTCCTACTACATATTATGTCATTTATCTTAAATTTCTCCTACTGTGGAACAATAAAGTTTATCTATCTATCTGTTTATATACATGTATATTTGTGCTCTAGTCCAAATAATCGCTCACTTTTATATTATATTATTATATAGTGAAATTATGATTCAATATCAATCAGCTAAATCATTTTGTATCTACTAGAATATAATTTTAATACCATACTATGAAAATAACCAATAATATCAATGATAATAATAGACATATAACACAGTAGACAATAATCAACAGACAACACAATAAGGGACATAAACAAAACATACTTCAGAACCATGTACCATCACTGAATGTTGTTTTTATTGTTGGCTTAACTTTGTCAATATGATTTTTACATTATTACATTACTTATAGGTAATGTGTATGCTTGTGTTGAATGCATTAAAAACACAGGTTCTTTGTGAGGTCATATCCCGAGATGCACTGAGATGTCACTACCCACCGGACCTGGTCAAGTATGAGGTCGATGCATTTATAAGGCAGGCCTTAAAATGATATGGTCTTCTGTTCTGAAGAGCCATTACTCACGTGTCCTGCAGGGTGCGCTGTCATGGCTGGTGTGGTGCATGGTACAGGCAGAGAGACGACTGACAACAAAACCGATGTTGTGTTAATTATTAAACCATGTGTCATTACATTTATACTATTTATGAGTTTATATAGTATGGTTATATAGAATTAGTCTGTTGTTTTATTTTTCTAAGATATACTATCCTGTTATAACATTTCCTTATCTTCTAGAATGCACTACATTTTATTGTGTGATACACTATTTTATTATTAATAATGCACCTAACCTAACCCTAACCCGTTTCCGATCGTACACCCTTATATTGTGACCAAACCTTTTCCTTGTATTTAGCTTTGAATTGATGGATATTTGAACACTGTCTAAGTTGTAGCTCCAGTTGGTTCCAAAGTTTGACAACACAAATAGATAGACACCAACGTTTTCTTGTGGTCCTCACAGGATGCACCTTAAAGATACCACAACCCCTCAGATTATAGCCCCCTTCTCTAGGAGTGAAGAGCTTTTGAACATTTACAGGTAACATATTTTTACTTGCTTTATATAGCAGCTGTGCTGTATAGAAATTCACTAGGTCACTCAATTTCAACAACTTGGAGTGCAAAAACAAATTATTAGTATGCTCATAATATCCTACTTTGTGTATGACTCTTACTGCCCGTTTTTGGAGTATAAAGAGGGATTGTAGTGAACTTTTATAATTGTTGCCCCAGATCACAATACAGTATGTTAAGTACGGCAATACTAATGAACAATACAGTAAGTACAGTGCACTATAATCTAAAAATTGTTTACCTTTATGTAGGGTATGAAAATAGTGATGTGGAGCGGCTATTCTCCAGGTCGGAGTCTCGCCGTTCCACCCAGAGGGATCTGAATTTATTTTTAGGGGCACCAGTAGAGTTTGAACGTCTACAACAGATCGATCAGTCTCACAATCTGATAGGTTTTGAGTTCGAAATCAGCCAGGGATATCAAAAGATTTATAAAAAGGAAACTTTGACGATGACTTAAGTTTATCGTGGGTTTATTGACTACATATGAAAATAGAAAAATATCAACGAGGAGGGGTTTGGTCACATTAAACAGAGATGTTAAACATATCACGTGAATCACACATTAACGTGGAAATTAGAACAGTCTTACTTTGACGTAGTCCGTATTGAAGAATCGAGGAATGAAGAAAAGGGGGGGGTGGGGGGGTGGACAGTCCACGTGCTCCTTTGTTCGGGCAGGAGAGGCGAAGGCCAGCAGGTCCGATCCAAACTTTAAATCCCCACACACGTACGCTGCCTAGAAAAGCGTCGCATGTGGAGGCGTCCAGAGAGCCGGAAAGTGGCTGGTGGATGAGAGTTCGTTGTCTCGGACAGCGGGTGTTGTTAGCTGTCCTCGTGGAGGTATAGGGGCCCAAGTTGTTGCAGGCCCAGATGTCGCGTTGGAGACGCGTACCTGGTTGCTAAGTTGATTACAAGATGCCAAGAGAAAGTTTCTCTGGGTGGTGTGTGGTTTTATTGTGTTCCAAAGGAGGCGCGTCTATGACGTCATCTTTGTGCGTCTCCCTGGACAGACATGTTATAACGGCATACACATACACCAATGTTTTATAACACATATACAGACACACAGCGCATTTACATTACAGACCATGGTACACACGTGTAGAGTACAGTAAAGGTTATCAGAATAATGACTTCACAGAGCGATGGTTCCGAATGTTTATGTTGGGGGTGCTAGCGTGCCGTGTCCACTGGGGGGCGTCAGAACGCCGTTGGTGGATCGCCAGTCTGCCTGGGAAGAATGTCCTCAGCCTGGTAGAGAGTGTGCAGACCCGATTTGATCTTTGATCTCGCCGGATAGGGGGGCAGAGATGTTTGGTTCTGTGGTCGATCATCGTCCCAGGTTGAAGGTTGTTATCTTTGTGACTAATGATAGTCCTCCATTCGACCTTTTTATGTCTCGGATGTATGCTCTGGGATGGACATTCCCAGATCGCATGTTTACTCTATCTCGGCTGGTTAACGTCTCAATCGGGGCACTGTTTGTTGAGTCGTGCCCCCTTTGTCATCTTACACACCCCCCCCACGGCAGAGATGCACCTTCCGACAAGGTGCATGTCATGTCGGATATGCCGGGCGGGTGTCCTCAGTCGGTCGTCTCGCCTGTTCGGGTGTTAGTGTGTGATCTATGGTAACATGTTATAACATTCTCGCCTTAATGTGACTCAGTAGTTCGCAAGCGCCTCACTGGGGCCAGGCTCGCGGCGGTTGGGTCTCGGGCCTCTGGCTTGGTTCGTTGAGGCCGGGTTTTCTCTAAGGCGTGTCCTGGCCCTGCAGGCTAGTTCTAACCGGGATCAGGGGTTCACGGAGTGAGCTACGGGGCAGTGAACTCTAGGGTTTGGGTCGGTGCACCTGGCTCCTGGGTCTCTTGGTCTGGAAGACTCAAAGTTCCAAGCCCAGAGACTAGCAAGAGTTTCTATTTCTAGGGGACTAGAATAAAAAAATATAAAGAAAACTCCAAAAATCAAAAAGGGTTGGCTGTTTTGGCAGCGATTGGGCGAGTCATTAAGGCACTCGCTGGTGAGGGCCCCATCTTGCTCGTTCTAAAAGGGGAGTGCAAGGATTACAAAGATATACGACGTAGCAAGTGAGGCTTTTAGTTACGAGGGGATTCCTATATATAAACGGGGATGACAGGTATGATTGTCTGGGAGACGGATTGGGTATCGAGGTAGATATGTTTGGGTCTGAGCTGGTGACTCGTGGTATGTTTTAGGCCCTTGGTTCACCTTCTGTGATAGAAAGAGTGACCGTCTCGAGTGGGTGGCTCTGAAGGTCCTCTTACTCTGAGTCGTTGACTTGGGGGCGCCGGCTTAAATTGCCACGCTCGACGGCGCTGTCGCCCCGGTTTGGTCGTCTACGGATTTGTCTCGTCATTGCCTCCGTGCACCTTTTAAAGTTATCGCGGAGTTGTCTAACCCGTTTGTTCAGGACGAAGGCCATGGCTGCGGCGGCTGGTCTGGTCTCAATAATTCCTAGGGTGCCGAGGCACACTATACAGGTCAGCACGAGGAGGAGAGGCCACCTGTTCTGCAAAGCGTGAGACACGGTTAGGAGTTAGACGGAGAGAGAGAGAGAGAGAGAGAGAGAGAGAGAGGTTCGATTAGTGCAGCCAAGAAGAAGGTTAGTGGTTGCTGGACTAATAGTGTTCGAGGGCACGTGGTGTGTTCTTAACTGGGGTTTGTAGTGTGCCCTACCTGCCCCATGGGGCTTTGTTTGTGTGGTTTGATTTGGTTGTGACGAACCCATTTGAGGGTGGGTTCTCTCCTACCTTTTGTGACCTCGATCTGGTACACTGCGGTTGAGAGTTTGTTTACCACCCTGTATGGTCCCGACCAGCGGGGTAGCAGTTTCCGCTGTAGTCTGGTGGGGCCGGTCCCCACTTGTCCTGGGGAATGTGCAAAGATGTAATACCATACCTGGTCTCCAACCTGGAGTTCGTTGTGAGACGCCTTTTGATCGTAGTAGGCTTTGCGTCCTTCGGCGCTGTCTCCCAGTTTCTTCTGTGCAAATGCAAACGTCTGTTCCAGGTGGTCCTGCGGGTCAGTCCTGTATTGGTGTGTGGTGTAGGCCGTGGCGATGTTCGCCTCAGCCGGTTGGTAGAGGAGATGCAGCGGGAGCGTCATTTGCCTACCTGTCATCATTTCGAATGGGGAAACTCCCGTGGAGCGGTGGGGTGTGGCTCGGATTGCCATCAGGAGCAGGGGAAGTTTCACGTCCCAGTCCCTCTGGTTTGTGGATACATACTTTAGTATTTCAATCACCGTCCGGTTTGTCCTTTCTACCTGTTGTAGTGCCTGGTGTGTGTTGTTTATACCTCTGTGTTCCGCGGTAGGTACGTCATGGGCGTGTGCCAACATCACCCCCCTCATGCTTCGAGGCACCACGAGTACCGACGAAGTGTGTGCATTGGAAGCAGAAACTAACAGCCCATGGCGTATTGGCAGTTTGTCTTTATTGCGCCAGAAGTTTTTGAGCGTTGTGTCGCCTGACAGCATGTGTGGTGTGATGTCGTGGTCGTTCGTGTTGATCGTGACGTCGATGAGGCGTTTTAGTGTGGGGTCCGCATATTGTAGGGAGACTAGGTCCGACCTGTGAAAGTCGGGGGTTGTGTGTGTGGGCGCGGTGTTGGGTGTCGGGTCCGTTTTAGCGGCGTTTGCCCGAGTGATCGCGCAGA